GTGTTTTCCAACATCTGTCTCTAACACCTGTCCAGAAGCGAACAAAGTGGTAGAACCAGATCAAACCAATGTTTTTTTTTTCTCTGCTCTTCACACAATAAATGCCTCAGGTATCTCTCTAGTGTTTGATATTAAAAAACCCTGACACCATCATATCCATTGATATATACTACCAATATTTTGAGCTGCTAGCAGTTTGCCTGTTACGTCAAGGCATCTGAAAGTTTAAAACTTGGCAAAGCAATGTTTTTCTTTTTCTTCTTCTATAATCCTAGGGTAAACATTAAGCAGACAGCATTTCTGCTTTGAGCATTAAAGGGAAAAAAAAAAGACTGAATTTGAAAAGACTTCTAGTACACTTTGGGGATTTCGGAAAGTGTCGTTTGGCTGGGAGCTGAGTGGAGAAGCTGCCACTCTGTAGATGGGATAGGAGGAAAGCCGCATGGCCTCATTCATAACTTCACAGCTACTGCAAATATCAGCTGATGAATATTTATGTTTTCCCTGGCTTAGGCCCGAAAGACAAACAAGGGGAAAAAAAAAAAAACACGAAAGTTAGGAAAAGGTCGTCTGAACTCTGTGGGATTTTTTACCAGCACTTTCCATGCGCGAGCAGTAGCCCTGAATGAAGTCATTCTGTACAGGGGCCCGGCACAGGAAAATACCGTCTGTTCATTAGCGTCCCGCACTTTGTTTGAACCTTGTACATTCATGGGGTCCTGAAAGGGAAACTCTTTTTTAAAAAAATCAAACACACAGGATATAGAGCTACCTTATTATTATTTTGATAAATTATTGCAAATTGCTCCTCACCATATAGTGACTTCAGTGGTTCATTGAAAGAGCAAGTTAGTGAAGGAGAGTTTAAAAAAAAAATTATATATTTTTTAAAGAGGGCCATTCCAGTTCAGGTTAATACTTTACAGAGTTACAGTTTCTAAAAATATTTTAAAGTCTATATAAATAATATCAATAGATTACTACATATCATAATAAAGCAATTTTTTTAAAGTGTACTCTAGATTTTAGTCTTATTTCAGGAAAAATAGCCCTCAAGCCCCACTGTAGAAGAAATAATCACATCTTGATCACTTGGAGTTTATTATTTAAATTCTGTTTTCCTCCTTTTACTTTTTCTTGGCCCATCAGTACTGCTTTCACTCTCTGCTGCCATCACTGCCGCATCCAGGTTGACCTGAGGCTATGGAAACAACACAAAAACAATCAACAAGATGAGGGATTTTTCTACTTGCCAATATTTCCATTATCAGTTTTGTTTCAGGAGAGGAGGCTCAAAAATTTGGCTGAAATCAAATTGGTGACTGCCTTATGGATTTCAGTGGTAGATACATCATGCAATTTTCTAACATTCATGGAGAGGCAGGTGTCCTCAGTGGGGATCCCCAGAAATGTTCCCCTGTGATGAGAATGGGTGCCTAAGACTTATGAAGGAAGTACTTCCAGCAGACATGGGGAGGTGAGAGGGAGGAAACCAGACACAGAATGGAAGATGACAAGCAAAGGAAATGCCAGCCTCAGCTGGGTCCTGCAAGGAGCTCTGGGGTATAGTTTTGCCCAAAAGTTTGTCCCCATTTGAGGGTAAGGGCTGTCTATTTTTGGAGTTTGGTGTAGGGGTGCATTGGGTGACCAGTTGTCCCGGTCTTTCTGGCACCATTCGGCTTTCAGCACTCAATTATCTTGAGAAATCTTTTAGTCTTAAACAAACTAGAATTGTTGGTCACCCTTGAAGGCTGTAAGTTCCCAGGTACTTCTGACTTTCTGGGCAGCAAAGTGGCTCCAGTTGCCCAAGGTCAGTCTTCTGAATGGAGTCACAGGTGCAAGCAATGTGAAACAAAGTCCACTGAAGCTTGTGGATGGGCATACAACATGACAAGAGCCTCTGAATGGAGCTCAGCCATCTTCCCTGTAGCAGGCACTATCCTCTACCCAGTTTTCTAAGAAACAAACTGGGATCGATGGAGACTATTGTAGATGTGGAAATGAGGGCAGGAGTTCCAGATGAGGAATACATTTCATTCTGTACATCAAGTTCTTAGTCCTAGTGGGACTTAAGGACTACGATATGTAGGTTCAGAACTAGTCAAGATTTCCAAGCAGATTTGTAGAAGGCATTAGCACTGAATTAAGTTGGGTACCAGTCTGTAACTGTGACATTTACAGAGTGGACTTGAACAAAATCTCTGTAGTTATTGAGTGGGGAGGAGGTAATGAAGCAATTGCCCATCAGTGAGTCTCTTGCAACATGCTGCTTCTCTGGCTACTGCGAGGTTCAGTTCTGGATATATGTAATGAAAATTGAGGACGTGGGGTGTGTAGCTTCAAAGAGGATATAATGAAAATGAGGATGAACATTCCCTAGCCCTGCCCAAGATAGGTGGAATCCCGCATTTCTTTTGATTTAACTTCTAAGAGTTAACAATAACTACCCAAAATAAATAGCGAATATTTGTCAAAATTTACCTTTTTCTTGTCCTCTGTTCTTGCCTTATAAACGTAAAGGTGAGATGTTTTTTCTTGTGTTTCCCTCTTGGCTTATACAAATAAAAGACAGTGAGTGAGAAGTTGGTCCATTGGCTGGCTTGGGCAGACATACTTGGTAGTGATTTCATGTATTTAACTGTGTGTTGGCATTGATAACGGCCTCAAGTTTCATGCTTGCTTCTTGCATTGTTTTGCCCAGTTTTTCAAGTTCCTTATGGAGCAGCTCATGTAGAGGATTTATTGTAGGAGTGCTTTCTTCTGCCCAAAGCAATACATTATCCACATGAAAGGATATCTCACACAGCCCCATGCTGCATCACTGCAGAGGAGAAATGAGGAACCGAAGAAATGGTTTCTAGCTAAATAGGTGTAGAAGAATTGCCTAAACAGTAAACATAGTACCCAGTACATAGCTTTTCAATTCTTTCCCCACCTTTCCCTCCTCCCTTTTGGAATCTTCCGTGTTTATTGTTCTCATCTTTGTGCCTCTGCGTACCCAATATTTAGCGCCCACTTAAAAGTGAGAACTTGCCGTATTTGGCTGTTTCCGTGTTAATTCACTTAGCATAACGGCCTCCAGCTGCATCCACGTTGGTGCAAAGGACATGAGTTTGTTCTTTTTTATGGCTGTGTAGTATTCCATGGCGTATATATACCACACATTTCTTTTGTCCAATCCACCACTGATGGGCATCTTGGGTGATTCCATGTCTTTGCTATGGTGAATAGAGATGTGACGAACATGCAAGTGTAGGTGTCTTTTTGGTAGAATAATTTATTTTCTTTTCAGTGTGTACCCAGTAGTGGGATTGCTAGGTCAAGTAGCAATTCTATTTTTCATTCTTTCAGAAATCTCCAAGCTGCTTTCCACAGTGGATAAACTAATTTGCATTTCCACCCAAGTATATAAGCATTCTCTTTTCTCTACAACCTTGCCAACATCTGTTATTTTTTTGACTTTTTGATAATAGCCATCCTGATTGGTTTGAGGTGGTATCCCATTGTGGTTTTGATTCTCATCCTTCCAATGATTAGCGATGTTGAACATTCTTTTCATGTTTCTTGGCTGCTTGCATGTCTTCTTTTGAGAAGTGTCTATTCATGGCATTAACTCACTTTTTAATGGGATTTTTTTTTCTTGTTGACGTGCCTTTTCCCCATTGTTTATTTTTGTCGAGTTTGTTGAAGACCAGATCATTGTAGGTGTGAAGACTCTATTTCTGAATTACTTACTATGAATATTTTGGAAAGGCAAATACTGATGGTTGAAGACATACAAATTCACTAAAATTGAGTACGATAAAATTATGACTAAGCTATTAAAGTTATAGAGAGGTGAATTTACAGCATGGTAAAAGAATAATATTTATTGAAACGCCATCTTAAAAATGGCATGGATCAAAAATACGGCTAGCTTTGCGACATTTTAGTTCTCATTTTATTATAGCTTTTGAGGTCTGAGGGAGAGCTTACCTAAGCAATTAAGCTACTGGTTAAGAAATTTTGTGTACATCTTAAGACTTTATATGACTGATGAGAGTTGTTACTCAAGTACATAATACAAATGAGGATTTTGAATTACAGCGCATTGTAGGCAGTAAATAAAGACTTGCTGAATGAATGGATATTTTTTCTACCAATGATGAACTTCAATGCAAAGAAATGGCATGTCTAAATGTTCAAGATATTTCTGTTGCAGGAAATTCATAAAAAGTAAGAGAGTAACTATCTATTTCTAAAACAACATCTATCAGAAATCAGTCCAGTCAGATTCTACCTTCAAATGTACAATGTCAGAACTAGAAAGGTTATGAAGACTATCACACTTTGCTTTTTACTCCACTGACGACATTCTGTGAAAATTCAGTTTTCTAGACTGTCACTCTAATACCAAAGTATTTTCCCCAATTAAAGACCAAGTAATTATATCATTTAGGGATAGCATTTTCTCTAGATAAACTTGGCCTCTCTGTTTTCAGTTAACACCAATTGGATGACTTCAAATGGATAGCTACAGATCAATTAAACCAAGCTTTGAATTTTTTAAAAGTTTTACTGAGTTTTTATATTTTCCAAGCATAATCTTTATCATGTGGCAAAGCTTTAATTACAAGATTACAGAAAGCCAAAGACTTCTAAGCCTTTAAGTCTTTGCTCATGTTTTCTTCTCTTACTGCCCGTTTTCCTCAATCAACCTGGTGAATGGATAGTTAGTGGACATAAACCAGGTTAATGCTTATACCCTCATAATTGTTTTTTTCTTACTGACCATGTTCTATACCCCTCCCTTTGGTGACCCTGACTTCCTCTCTTGTGCTCCTGAAGCTTCCCATCATCATTCTGATACTATTGTGCCATACTTTCTGAATGTATATGTTTATATATCCTCCCTAGGATGGTGAGCTGTTTTAGGATAGTTCCTTTGTCTTTCAATTCGCCACAATATCCTGAGTTTATTTTTAGCACAATACCTTACATAACAGATATGCAGAAAAGAATTGTCAAATAGGCAAACTTTAATAGTGGACTAGAGACCTTGGGAAGCAGCAAGGAAACCACTGATAAGATAAATATTAATGTGGCAAACTGGCTTTCATTGTTGTGAGAGTTTTTAACAGTTTTTCTCCCACTTCTCGTCGGTTTACTATCACTCCTGGCATCCTAAATTAAAGTCAATAAATGTTCTGCCTATATGGGGCAACATTTGAACTCTTTGGAGCAGAGATGTCAAGCAGGTTGTAAGAACAAATGTATGACTCCATGAAGGCTGATAGGAATGTAATTTTTAAGCTTGAAAAGAAAGAGACAGCACTCAGAACTGTATATTCACTTATTTGTATTAGGTAAGCTACCAGAAAAAATTTTTAGAGTCATTTGATATGGATAAAAATTCATGTTAAAAGCATATTCAAAGATTGCATCAAATGTAAGCCCAATCCACTGTCCATAATTTTTTGAGACAGGGTCTTGCTCTGTCAGATAGCCTAGAGTGCAGTAGAATCGTCATAGCTCCCTGCAGCCTTGAACTACCGGGCTCTAGCAATCCTCCTGCTTCAGCAACCCAAGCAGCAGCTGGGACTACAAGCATGAGCCACCATGGCTGGAAAATTTTTACTTTTTGTAGAGATGGGGGTCTCGCTTTGTTGCCCAGCCTGGTCTGAAACTCCTGGCCTCAAGTGAATCTCCTGTCTTGGCTTCCTGAAGTGGTGAGATTATAGGCATAAGCCACTGTGCCTAGTCTTACTCTTTATAATAAATTTTGATTCTTAAAATATTCATAATGTAACCAACTATGCATATTGCACTAAAAACTTACCAATTAAGTTTCCGTTATTTATAACTGTAGGATATTTGAGGCATGAATCACTATTCATTTTATTTTCTTTATTTTCTTTTTTTGAACAAATTTATTTATATAAACAAATAGTGTATGAGAGTAGAATATACTTTTAATTCCATGTTTTTGAAAAATGTATTCCAGACTACAGACCATTTTCAACATTTTTTTTGTTATAATCTACATACAGCAAAATTTACTCTTTCTGTTATACAGCTCTGAGAGTTTTTTCTAATGCCTACAGCTGTGTAATCATCGTCTCAATCAAGATATGGAACAGTTTTTCTCACCCCCTAGTCACCTAAATTCTCGTATGTCCTTTTGTGGCCAACGTCTCCTCCCACCCCAGCCCCATCCACCACTGATCTGTTTTTTATCCCTATAAGATGTCCCCTTTCTAGAATGCCATTAAATGGGATAATACAGTATATAGCCCTTTGAGACTGACTTCTTTCACGTAACATCATAGTGCCTTTGAGAGTCATCCATGTTGTTAGGCGAGTCACTAGCCCCTTCATTTTTTATTGTTGAGTAGCATTCCTTATGCCATAGTTTATCTACCTCTTTACTTATTGAGAGACAAAGTTTTGGTGATCACACCTAGAGGAATTATAAACGGTCATACACAATTTTATTTTGTTCTGTTTTGTTTTTTGAGACAGGGTTTCTCTCTGTTGCTCAGGCTGAAGTGCAGTGGTATGATCACAGCTCACTGCAGCCTTGGCCTCCTGGGCTCAAGTGATCCTCCCATCTCAGTGCCCCAAGTATCTGGGACTACAGGTGCACACCACCACTGTCTATTTCTTAATTTTTTTTTTGTACAGTGAGATCTTGCTATGTTTCCCTGGCTGCTCTCGAACTCTTGGGCTCAAACAATCCTCCTGCCTCATCCTCTCAAAGTGCTGGGGTTACAGGTATGAGCCACCACTTGGCCCAGAGTTTTTTAAAAAAACATAAATTTTCATCGCTTTTGTGTAAATACCTAGAAGTAGGATTGCTGTGTCATATAGTAAATGTATATTTAGCTATATAAAGAAATTGTCAGACTTTTCTAAAGTGGTTGTGCCATTTTTTTTTATTATACTTTAAGTTCTGGGATATATGTGCAGAAGGTGCAGGTTTGTTACATAGGTATATGTATACCATGGTGATTTGCTTCACCCATCAACCCGTTGTGTGCATTAGGTATTTCTCTTAATGCTATCCCTCCCCTAGCCTCCCACCCCCGACAGGCCCCAGTGTGTGATGTTCCCTGCCCTGTGTTCATGAGTTCTTATTGTTCAACCCCCACATATGGGTGAGAACATGCGGTGTTTGGTTTTCTGTTCTTGTGTTAGTTTGCTGAGAATGATGGTTTCCAGCTTTATCCATGTCCCTGTAAAGGACATGAATTCGTCTTTTTTATGGCTGCATAGTATTCCATGGTGTATATGTGCCACATTTTCTTTATCCAATCTAACCCTGATGGGCCTTTGGGTTGGTTCCAAGTCTTTGCTATTGTAAACAGTGCTGCAATAAACATACCTGTGCATGTGTCTTTATAGTAGAATGATTTATAATCCTTTGGGTATATTTATAATCCTTTGGGATTTATAATCCTTTCATAACAGGATTGAAAGAGTAAGAAGAATGTTTGTATTTATTGATGAAAAATTTTGATACACAATTGAAATAGGGGCTAGTTTTTGTCATGTGAGGAGGAGCATGCCGGATGTCAGAGGAGTCCCTTGAGTTACTTCCAGAACTCAGAAGTGGAAGGGGGTTATTCCTAACTTTATTACTGGAGCTACTATGGGAATGCTGGGTCAAATGGTATTTCTGGTTCTAGATCCTTGAGGAATTGCCACACTGTCTTCCACAATGATTGAACTAATTTATACTACCACCAACAGTGTAAAAGTATTCCTATTTCTCCACATCCTCTCCAGCATCTATTGTTTCCTGGCTTTTTAATGATCACCATGTTTGTGCTATTTTTTATTACCAACAGCAATATAAAATATTTCCAATCACTTTGAATACTTTAATATTGTAAGGACATTAAACATTTAAACCTTCTTATTGGTAGGTAGTGGTATCCCATTGTGGTTTTAATTTCCACTTTCCTCTTTACTACCGCTATTGAACATTTTGTCTATTCAAGTCTTTTAACCATTTTTAAATGCAGTTGTTGACTTTCTCATTACTGTGTTTTAAAAGTTGAATATATCTTGGGAATACAAGTTATTTATCAGATGCATGATTTATAAATATTTTTCCCAGTTCATAGCTTGTCTTCATTCTCTTCACAGTGTCTGCTAAAGAGCAGAAATTCTTAATCTTTGATAGTGTCTATAATTGTTTTCTTTAATGGTGTTATATCCAAGATTTTCTCTTTGATGTTATATCCAAGATTTCTTTGCCTAACTCAAGATCATGAATTTTTCCGCTTATGTTTTCTACCGGAAGTTTTATAGCTCTATGGGTTATTTTATTTTATTTTTTTTGAGACGGAGTTTCACTTTTGTTGCCCAAGCTGGAGTGCAATGGCGCAATCTCAGTTCATTGCAACTTCTGCCTCCTGGGTTCAAGCAATTCTCCTGCCTCAGGCTCCCAAGTAGCTGTGATTACAGGCATGGGTCACCACGCCTGGCTAGGGTTCTATACTTTTTGTTTGGGTTTATAATACATATTGAATTTTTATACAAGGTGCATAAAACTTTCACACAAGATGTGAACTAGGAGTTGAGGTTACATGTGTTTTGCAAAACTGTTTCAATAAAGTTTGCTGTAAAGATTATCATTTCTCTATTGAATTCCCTTTGTACAGAGGTAGAAAAATAATGGATTCAACATATGGGTCTATATCTGCACTCTCTAATGAGTTCCGTTGATATATGTTGGTTAATTTCTCAAATTCTACATCAGGATAGCTCTTTTTTAAACCTCAAAGATGTGAAAATAATTTTCTTTATAAATAGGAGAACTGAGAGCCTTTTGTATCCTTGGCGAATTCAGCTAAACTTTCTGAGCTCTGTTTCTTTATCTGTGGAATGTGGAATTGCATTAACAGAAATCTAAAGTCCTGCTTTTTCTTTCTTTTCCTCTTCTATTCTTTTCCCTTTCCTCTTCCCCTCAGCCTTCTCAGTCCTTCTCACCCTTTCTTTCTCACTCCCTTCTGCTCCCACCCCCATATTCTTTCTCTGTCTGGTCAGTAGATGGTGCTGTGCTGCAAGACATATATTTGCTGGTTTCTTAAAACTTTTAAATATCACATTATGTCATCTGTTAATTCTACGCCTTATGACTACACTTTGAGAACTGATCCTTAAATTGTTAATGGAACAACGATGTTCACACCCATCCCTCTTTGAGAAGTGAAACCCCAGGCATGAGTCTGGCTACTTAAACTAGGTACACTTCTTCACTGGAAAATTTGTCAAGAGATAAAGGCCTTTGATTAAGAAGAAATATTTTTTAAAAGCAATAGTGGGTAGTGACCCTGAAAACTCCAAATGTCCTTCAGCCGTGTGTGACATTTGAGTTGGTGTGTGTTTACCCAAAGGCAAAAAAATGGATGGCCATGAAGGACATAGGATAGGAAGCCCCTTTGCTCAAAATAAAATCCCAAGGTTAATTTGTTTGTGAATCACAGAGCCAGCTGTCTGTCCTGGCCCAGTATGACTTTTGTGGTGACAGCTGTTTCTACCAAGATTTGACGAGTGGGAATGAGGGCAGAGCTGGTGGTTGCGAGATGGGATGGAAGTGGGAGATGGATTTCAAGTATGGACTCTGGTTTCTTTAAAAAGGAAACCGATGGGTTTTTACATATTCTCAATTGAACTTGTAGTTCCTTTAGTTGCACATAATGCTTTTACTTCCCAGGAGAGAAGAGGTGGGTGTGCATGGTTAGTTGTTTCTTCATGTCCCCTTAGGTTACAATTTAATGATGGGTGTTTAATTTTCCAAAAGTTTAGCAAACTGTGAAGGTTTCCATAAAGGGCACTATATTTGCTGCAAAAATCCAGTCTGTATTCCTCTGGCCCAGAAACCCTGAGGTACAGTGAACTCATGTTTCTTAGAGCCTGATTTTCAAAATACCAAATGAAAGGTCCTTCTTGGGGTTTATGGCATCATCCTAGTATTTCCATGTATAAATAATAATAATGTTCATTTGATAGTGCTTTATGGTTTCGAAAAGCAATTTTACCAACATATGCAATTATGCTTTTGCTTAGAAAGTAGATATTTGAATTAGGGCATTGGAGGTCAAAGCCAGAGAAGATCAGTGAGGAAGAAACACATAGGTTACTGATGACTTCTATCCTCATTTAGGTCTCCAATTGGGTGTTTCAAATTAACACAACTGAGCTTCTACATCCATCCCCTAGCCACTCAATTTCCTATCTCCTCCATCGGGTTACATGAACATGCCATCCTTTCATTTGCTCAGCCCCGAAGCTTTGGAGTTGCCTTTGATTCTCCTGTTTCTTATTCTATACCTGAGCTACAAGCAAAACCTATTGGAATTGCCTTTAAAATACAATGTATTTAGAATCCGAAAACTTCTCAGCACCTCCATGGGTACACCCTGGTCTATTCCACTAGCGTCACTTACATGATTTAGGACAAACGTTTTCTAATAGATTTCCCTGCATCAGCCCCTGTCCCCACTTTAATTTAGGCACAGTAGCCACAGAAATGCTGTTAATAGGTAAATTGGACCTTGTCAAGTCTTGGCCCAGAACCCTTTAAAGGCTTTTCGTCTCACATTGAGGAATTGCAAAGACCTTACGGTGGCCTACACAGTCCTGTGTGATGTGACCTCTTCCATGCTTTGGGATCCTATTTCCTATCACTGACCCTCTCTTACTCACTCCTATTCTCCTGAGTCCTCCTCAGACGTTCCAGGGGTGCTGCTCTCCTAGGATCTATTTACTTGTTCTTTATCTTTGAATGCTCCTCCCCCAAATATGATTCTCACTCTCATTTCCTTCAGATCTTGAATCAATGACACCTTCTTACTGTGGCCTTCCCTGGCTGCTCTACCTAAAATTGGACCCTCTCTAATGCTTTCTGATCCTTTCCTAGCTTAATTTTTTCTTCAGCACTTATTACAACATAATCTGCACTTAATTTGTTTTGCTTAACTTTCTAGAATATAAATTTCACGAGGGCAGGGATTCTTGTCTATTTTATTCATTACTCTACTTCCAAAGCCCAGAGGAGTGCTTGACACAAAAGGAACACTCAATAACTATGACTAAATACATAAATGAATGGATTCTCCACCTTGTTTTCATGGTATGTGTGAGGTTTGCAAGTACCAACCACCAAAGAAAGACTAATGCTTGACTAGATTCTTGCAGAGTAAAACTTGATGCTCCACCATCACTTTGTGAAAAATAACAGTTTCATCGTCTAAATTCTAGATCCTGACTCAGTAGGTCTGGGAGTCCATATTTATGTATTCCTCAAGAAATTTTAAATCTTAACCAGATCTGGAGGCCCTTTTGTCTAGAGAACAGTTTATCTTTAACTCAACAAATATTTATGGGATATATTCTGTATTCCAGAAATTATGCCAGGAAATGGCCCTGCACTGAAGTCTGGTAGGAGAGACAGATGAGTAAAATTACACTTGCCATATAGTATAATAAGTGCTTTCCCGAGGCATTTATTAATTGCAGGGGTTGTGAAAGACAAAGGAAGAATAGATCTGAAATGGATCTGAAGAATTCTCAGAGGAAGTGACTCACGTTGAAGAGGAAGTGACAAAGCAGGTAAGGAATATAGGGCACTGTAGTTAGGAAAACATCTTGGCCTCTGAGTTCAAGACGATTGCCAGGTTCCTGAGTCATGCCTTGTACCAAAGAAGGGGGCAAAGTTAGACAGCCATCTATTTTTGCAAGACCTTCCTACCTTTCTTTTTATAGCCCTCTCTTCCAGGTGTCTAGGATTTTAACTATCTTGAGAGAATAAAAATATATTTCTGGCTTATTTGTCTGGCTCTCCTTTAAAAAGAGTATAATGAGATCCTTTCTCATACTGAGTAGCTAATGATTTTCTGGGGTGTTCACATTTCAACAACAAGGCAACCTTTAATAATAAAAAAAATGAGGCAGGTATCAGTGACAAGCCAGCAAGGAGATATTCTTTTGGGTTTGAATCTTCAATTTTCCTTGAGTCACATCACATGAGAAGGACCTTAAGGTTGGTGCTAGAATTGGTCTGTGGTAATTCTCTGCCAATTCATCACAATGCTGGGGGGAATGATAACCACTCTTGTCGCTTCCAAGCTTTGCTATAGGTCTTAGACCGATGCCTTTGTTTTTCCATGCTGCAATTACTCAATTTTTAAATATCATATTTGTGTAGAGCATTGCGCTTTGTTCATTTATATTAGTCAAGGTAAGTAGTGTTTGCTGCTATAACACACAATCCCCAGGTCTCAGTACCTCAACACAATAAAGTTTTATTTTTTTGCTTGTATCATGGTCCAATGTGAATTCCAAGAGAATGGGGATGGGTCTGCTGTTTGGACAGGAGCCTCTGCTTTGTGCATCCATTCAGCGACACAATTATTTTCATAATGGGGCTCTGCAAGATCCAGTCGTGGCTTCAAAAACTGGCCTGACATCTTTCAGATAGCAGAAGAGGAGCAAATGGAACAGGTACTCACTTTAATATGCCTTAAACCAACAGTCAACTAATTTTTTCTGTAAAGGATAGTACATATTTTAGGCTCTGAGAGCCACCTAATCTTTGTTAAAAACTACACAGTTCTGCCGATATAGTGTGAAAGGCGCCTTAGACAATACGTAAATGAGTAGGGTGGCTATGTTCCAATGAAACTTTATTTACAAAGACAGGTGATTGGCCACATTTGCCCTGTAGGCTATAGTTTGCAGACCCCTGCATTATACCAAAAGGTGTGTCTTCCAATCACATTCCATTGGCAAAAAACAGTCATATGTTCCCACCCAGATGCAGAGTATCAGGGGAATGTATTGTGGCTGTGTGCCTAAGAAACTGGTGAGAATTTAGCCAGCCTCTGATGCATCATATATTAGGGGTAGGATGTTCATTGATTATTCCCCAGATGGTGGACACACTGTTCTCTACTTCCAACTTGTTCGAGGTCAAAAATTTTCCTGTAGAAGACATGATCTCACAAGTTTTCTAAGCTTCTTTATCCTTTATTCTGGGGAACAATGAGGATGGTTTGCTGAAAGTGGTCTTGAAAAATCCTGTGTAGACCAGGTGGGAGAGTTTGCTCCCGGGAAAAAAATAAGTATTATCTCAAATAGGTGATTGAAGTACAACATGCTATCCACTGGTAACAAGTAATCATAACTGGATGGCAAGGTAAATAATCACTCTATGTTAACTCAACTTTCAAATTCACCCAGGAGCTAAAGCTCTTCTATGTATTGATTTCCTTTTTTGTCTTCTTCCAAAGTCCCTGGAGATGGATGAAAACCTTGCTCTGCAAGTATGCATTCAAAAATCTAATTATACCAGCAGTAATTTAGTGTGTGGTAATCTGTTTCCTTGCATCTCAAAAGGCCTCCCACTTGATCTACTGTGGACTCAGAAATAAAGGGTTCTTTCAATAGCCCTGTGAATTAAGCAGAGCAAACATTTGGCTAAAAATAAGGTTAGGGAAGGCTTACTATATAGAAGTTGCAAATATCTCACAATCCTTGTTCTCAAACTCTCACACTTTACAATTGTTTGACAGATTGAGTGCAAGCGGTCATGCCTCCAATACTCCACGGCTCCCCTTGCATCTGGCTGGCCTAGTTACTCATTTTGGCCAATAACATGGTAGATGTGATGGTGGGGACTTGCATGCTCCACATTCTCTTTAAACTCTTCTGCTCCCATGTGCGAAAGCCTAGGCTAGCCGGATGGGAGATGACAGAGAACATGGAGTAGAGATCAGCTGTCCCAGCTGAGGCCTTCCTAGTCTAGCCAGCCTGGCAATGTGGCCTCCAGATGTTTGGACAGCTCAACAGAAACATGGACCAGATCAGCAGGACTACCTAGGTGACCTGCAGATTTGGGGGTTGTTACTCAGCAATAGCTAACAGATAGTGTGTCAATTATGTATGCTTTTAGTTTCAAGAAAAGACTTGCTCACCGGGGTTGGAAAGCAGGGACTTATCTGTCTTTATAATAGGAAGAATAAAATTAGGTACAGGGCTGCTTCAGTGCTTCAAAATGACATATATGAATCTACTGATCATATCTTCCACAACTTAGTTTGCTGGATTTCATTCTGTCATTGGTAGCAACATGGTTGCCAAATGGCTGATTTATCTCCAAAATTATAATGGTGTTTGAGGTGGTTTGAAGAAAGAAGGAAAAAGGGCAAAAGAGTGTGATGGCTGTTACTTTTAACCAGAGAAGTAAAAGGTCTTCTTGAATCCCCATTTCAAAAGATTTCTGATTATGTGTCATTGGGCTAAGCCGTATTACATGGCTATCCCTTGGCTGGAAGGTGTCTGGGAAGGCAGAATTGTATCTGCCACAAGAAATCAACAGACAGGTGATTGGTAGGCTATGTTTCCAAAGGATGATTTTTCAGAGAAAGTCTCACAGAGGTGGTAACTTTGGGCATGACAAAGGGCTTCTCGGGTAGACAAGATGGAAAAGGGCACTCTGCTAGAGAGAGCTGCATATTCCAAGGTACCAGAGCAGTGAAGGAGCATACCTATGTGAGAGCTTCAAATTTATAACTGAGGCCCAGAAAAGGGCAAGTACTCACCAGAGGTAATCAAACTAGAGATTGAGCGAGCAGGGTCCATCTTTAGATTGTAGTACAGGGTCTCACCACACCTGGCAAAAGTAGAATCAGTTCTTACGACCTCAGAGTTTCTTGTTCATGTCCCCTTCATGGCCCTTATCACATTGAAATAGAGTCATCTTTTTACTAAAAAGTAGATCTGGAGGTCACATTATTAGTTGGCAAAATTGTATATATTACTCAACCTTTTGGCCTTAGTTTTTCCCAAAATACTGCTAAAGACATCACTCAGTTACTCAGAAAAATCACCTCTGATTCACCCTGTTTATAGACATGAGGTTTTGAGATCTATTCATTTCACGTCAATAATCCCTCACATTCATCCTATTGGTACCAGCCAGTATAAGCCTCTATTACGTCTCAAATATCTAGTGTAATAAACTAAATATCTACCTATTTTCTCTGGCCCCTCAAATCCAGCCTGCATTTGAATTTTGTGTGGCTCTTTCCAAAGCTCACTTCAGCCAGGCAAGACTGGGCTCAGTCCTCTGTCTCCCACTGCCTCTCTAAGTACAAAGTTCTGAAAGTCACTCCAGAAATTATTATCACTTTACCTGGAGAGAGACCTCCCACCTTCAGGTTTGTCTGGGAGAGTCCCAGATAGAGGCTCTTGTCCTGGTGCCCAGTCCAGTTTAGTATTTGTTCTGACCTCTGTCTCTCTCAAAACTTAACCAGCTGGGATGATAAATTGCATGACGCTTCTAACTATTTCCTTTTTTATAGCCTTTATTATTCTCTGAAAGTACTGAGTGATTTATTTATTGGAGGCACTTACACTGAACAGTCTTCTCAATGCCTGAGTTTCCCTCTTGTAAGATTTAAGTGAAAATGAAAGATGTGTGTTTGCATGTGGAGAAAAGGGGGTGAGAGGTGCGAACCGGCAAGCGGGAAGCAATTTTAAACCTTTACCCAACTGATGGAGACAGTGCATCAACAATTCTTATTTAAACATTGTGACTGGTTGGATGTTTTTCATTTTTATCTCATAATGTTGCTCCTACTATTATAAGTAAAGAAAGGCATTATTTTTCTTGGTCAAAGGAAGAATGATGATTTGCTCCCTTCTTTGGGGGGTTGAAGAAGGATATAAACTGACAGACGTGGTGAGAAAAGAGGATGAGTTCTCTTGTCCTCTTTGGTGGGAGGTGCAGGTTTGCTCTGCAAATTCATCTGGGAGATTTTTACTAGCAGGAACTTTCAGTCATCTGCAGTTTTCAATATCTGTAGAGAATCTGCTAGAACATCTATCTGTCTCAAGTTGTGGAGCATGAGATGAAGAGCATCCAAGGACAAGAGTGTCACAGACCCTGAGTTGTTAGAACCTTAACTATTTCTCCCCAGGGATGTCCTTTGCTACTCGTGGTACCTGGAGTCTTAATAACTCTTGCCAATTTCCTCAGCAATACTGTGGATCACAGAAGGCTAACTCTGGTTTACCATTATGCAAAATACAAAATGCATTCCCAGTTCCAGTCAGCAGACTTACACTCATACCTGAGTAGTGTCTATGCCAGTACTTCTTTGAGAGAACTCTAGGCAAAGATGCTCTAGGTCCCAAAGGCAGTCTACATTTGCAGAGGAGGTGCACTCTCCCCCTGCGAATAAGCTGTAGGCAGTTGCAATTATTCAAATTCATAGGATGAATTTGAAAAATGGCCAGGAAGAGTCAGAATCGTACCTGGTACTGGAAGTCATCCTAGATTAGAAAATTAAGTTTGAATATGAATAAAGTGCTTTCCTTAGCAGAGAAACCCGGAAATAAATAAGCTGCTGATTGCCATCTGCTAAGAAATCACTGCTTTTTCCTACTTCTGGCATCTTTTCTTTTTCTGATTTACTTATTTTTTTGAAAGGGAAATAACTCAGTACAGCCAGAAAACAGATACATAGGAAAGGGGATTTACCAAAGGTAACAGATGTTTTTGTACTTTTGAAGAGGTGTAAGGTTGAATCATGTCTTTTAAAACTAGAGATATGCACAGATTACCACCCTGTGGGGGTTATAGGCACTTGGGGGCTTCTTGTCAATTTAATATTTTTTTGAAGTATAATATCTCAGCAGTGAAAGGAAACAGAAGCAGCTAATTCTGAACCTAGAGGTTCTTTCCTGACCCCTTGGTACCTAGGCACAATAGGGTGAGTTCAGGACTGAGTTAAAGTCTAACTCCTTATTTCCTGCCTTTTGTTAGTTTTAATCTGACACTTAAACATACTTCAATGTGGACCTTTGTGTGGGAATGCCTTTGATTTTTTTTTTTTCCACTCCCAAGGAATGCCAGCTAAGAGAGGGAGAAAAATAGGATAAAGTTTTAATCACATGTAATATGTATCTTAAGAAATGATGTAGTGCTTTAATCAAAACAAAACAAAAGTGCTAGACTGCAAGGCTGACCTTGCGGTACCCTTCTCTTAAAGTTAGAGAGAATCTAAACTTCAGTCTTAGAGAAAGGTGTATTCCCAGTCCTCTGAAGCATGCCTGTGTCCATGAGAAACTCCCACCACATAGGTAATGAGCCACATGGCTCCTGGGTCCATATCCTGTTTTTGTGAATGGAGGCTGAAGCTGTGGTCCTTGGGTTTGGAAAAGTGAGAGCTGTGTGGTAAATGCTTCCCTTGAGCTAGCTGACCTAGTTACCTGGTCAGTCATTTCAGTGGATCATCGGTTGAGTGTGACTAATGGGTCATTAGATTTGAAACGTTTTTGCTTAATGCCGTCTGTTCAGCTGCCTTTATTGGGAAAGTTCCTATTTCCACTCAAATAAGTGGAAGGGGGATGTCTGGCAGGAGGATGATACATAGGCTTTAGTTAAGGAAAATGATGGAAAAGCAAATAACAGGGAAGTATGAGTAAGAGTGATTAAAAGAGTTAAGCAATAGAGTTAACATTGTGCTCTCATGACCACATGTTTAATAGAGTGTGATACATACTTGTGATGCAGAAACCTATAAACTTGTAATTACTTTATGGAAAACATATTGACTTCACCGTATCAGTTACATTTTAACACATATACATGCACATGTTTATTTGTAGGTATATATGTAGTGTGTGCATGTGTGAATGTGTATATGTAAACCTGGAAACCATTTGCTTTAAAGGACCTTATTATATTATTCTGTTGGTGTTCTAATGTAGTATTATGATTTTAACAGATACATTAATTTCACTTCCACATTGCCTTACAGCTATTATGTTAAGTTTAATAGAAAACATTCTCTATATTCTATTAACACACCCTCAACCTATGCTATCTGGTAGTTTATGCACAGACATATTCAATAAAAATGTTCTATTACAGTGTTAAAGCATAATTTTCAAAAATAGTAAAATAATGACTCTCATCCAAATATAAAACGAATGCATGTCAAAGATTTTATTTGACTCATTAATAAATGAGGGGACCAGTAAGATATATTTTTTTTTTTTTGAGAAGGAGTTTCACTCTTGTTGCCCAGGCTGGAGTACAATGGCATGATCTCGGCTCACTGCAACCTCCGTCTCCTGGGCTCAAGCGATTCTCCTGCCTTAACCTCCCAGGTAGCTGGGATTACAGGCGTGCACCACCATGCCAGGCTAATTTTTTTTTGTATTTTTAGTAGAGAGGAGGTTTCACCATGGCCAGGCTGGTCTTGAACTCCTGACCTCAGGTGATCCACCCACCTTGCCCTCCCAGAGTGTTGGGATTACAGGCGTGAGCCACCGCACCCGGCCATGGGGACCAGTAAGATCTTCACTGGTTCAAATGAAAATCTGACTTGCAGAGATTTGTGTAATTCATTTGCATTGCTATGGGCAGGAATCATTCACATTGCTATTCATTTTCTGCAAATTAACAGTCACCCCTAAATAATTTTAAAATAGCCAAGAAATTTTTTATGTCACTTTCATGTCTTGAGTGCATTTTCCAGAAAATCGTTTCTGTTTCCTTCTTCATTAATTCAAGTACTTTTAAGGATAAACTTATGAGTGTACATGGGAGACTGGTATATATACATGCTGGTAAATATGAGAAGGTGCTTGTTCCTTAGGAGCTCAATATTTACAAAGAGAGAGAGATTCACTCAGACAACCACAGTTTATTTGATATATGCCAATAGAATCTTAATGAATCATTCTCTTATGAAGAGGCGTGTGTGATTCTACAGAAGAAATATTGTTTGAACAGTGTCTCACTGGTTGAGACAGCAAGACAAAAGGGGTGATGGTTGCGGGGGGTTGAAAGGCAGACTTTTCATTCTACCTAGAGCGAATAGAATACCAAAAGCCTCAAGGGTATAAAAAAGCAAGGCATACTGCACATATCAACAAAAATCCAGGGCACCACGAAGGGCCATGGCTGGGAAGTGAAGTTCTGAGACAGGAAGGCAAACTTAACCAAAAAACCCCATTGTCCTAAACAAGGTGGAGTGAGCTGATAACTTCCATATTTAGATTCACACTACAAAATAGTGTACATTTGTATCAGGAAACTTGTTTAAGAACATCATTACAGTATACCAGAAGAGAGGATCATTACCCTGCCCCGACATTCTAACACTTTGAGGGGCAGAATTATGTTTGTTTTTGGAGAGGAGGATTTTCCTTCCTTTTTGCCTCATTTCTTTACCATTACTCTTTTCCTCCTCTGCCCTCCTTTCATTTGTCACTTCCTTTTTCCATCCTTTCACTCATTTCTCCCTCCCTCCTTTCTCTCTCATTGTGACCCCATTTCCACTAAGTTTAGTGGTCTAGGAAGCACCTGTTGCCTGTTTAAATTACTGTGATCCCTCGTGTAGAATCAGAGTGATCCTGGGTGGTTCTCTGATTCTCAAGACAGTCCTGGACGAACAATAATACACCATTACACTCTCTTATTTTAAAGTCAGTTGCTAAAGCACCATGACATCATCCTAAGCAAGGTAAAATACAACTGCAGAGTTTACTGCTTTATAATTATGACATGCCGTCCAATTTTCCTGAGCCCTCTCTGAACTGGAAACCCTTTGCTCCAACGACAAGGCATTTGC